TTTTGATCTGACAAACTAATTTTTTTCGGTGAAATTTCGAGCTTTATTAGACACAACAAAGTGGAGTACTTGGTTCCCCCTTTCACACTTTTCACCCACGCAGCACGCAGAGCGCCCAACACTTATCCCGTCAGACTAGGATACAGGTGCCGTACATGTTATTTCCCGAGGGGAAAAGGTACGGCTTCTTAACAGTGCCAATTGGCGTCCCGTGGGGGCATGGTGTTAAAACACTGGGCCGAACGAGGAAATATTGTAAAAATTGCGAACAAATTCAACCCAACTGAAATCTGAACTCAGATTGTCCACATGTCCGCTTGTCTTGCCAAGAAATGGGATACAGCAGTCTTTTTCTTTTTTAGTAGAGGGTTTTATGGCGCTGGCAACTACATAAGGTCATATGTACAGCAGTCTACTAGATGAAAGATCAACTCAAACAATTGATGAACCATTTTAACTGCACTAGACGTGTAAAAAGAAAAAAACTAGCCATGTTTTAAGTAACACACATAAAGCTATACTACAACAAATTCTCCAATAGAAATGGTTATAAATCACAACAAGTCGTCAAATATCAAAATATATCACAAATTACAGTATTTTAGGAAGATACTTGAAACAACACAAATCTTTTTGTTAAGAAATAACAAATATTTCAACAAACCAACCAAACAGAATCAGTAGATCCCAAACATAACTTCCAACACAACATTTCCTTCTGGAATATCCAGTAACAAAACATAACGTCTGAATCAGTTACTCTCACATGATCAGACCAATTTGTTCGTCAACAACTCGGAACAATTTAACAGAATTTATGGCTCGCAACATTACAGCGGGCACTATTTAGTGCAGTAAAAAACCATTAGAACAAGAAATTTTACCAAAGCTTTTCGCTTATCTCACGTGAGTTTTCAGAAACGATCTGGAATGTTTCGGGGAATAACATGTTCAAAAATAAAAAAGGTTTTCCTTTCAGATAGTTGAGCTAGTATTTACAGGAATGCCATACCATAATACGTATACAAAACACATCATAATACGTATACAAAACATACCATAATATGTATACAAAACATACCATAATACGTATACAAAACAAATTAGAGACACATAATTAATTAAAAAAACAGAGTGAATCAGAAGCTGGAAAAAGATCATAAGAAAATGAGTCATCCATACAGATTGAAAGATTTATACATTTGTGGCATTGTTCGCAGCCGTCAACAAAAAAAAAGCAGGCAGTCTACAAACTTTGGGCTTTCAGAATTTAGTACAAACCATCGAAGAAAGGAATATTTTATCCAACGTGAATTTCTCAACCCTGCAGCAGTAACAATGTGCTTGACACAACCCTGCAACTTTACACATAAGCAAGAAGTAAAAACAACCATTATTTCCCCATGTATGTTCATAATTCTTATTATAAAGGGATTGCCGTAACAAAAAGAAATACAAAGCAGATATTTTAATCCAATCAAAGTATTCAAAGATATCATATTAAAAAGCAAATAATATGAAACTTTCCATGTTATGAACAGGCTGCACAATAGGTCCAAACCTAAAAGTTTGAAAACACATCGGAGGAAAGAGAATCTTTTGTCTTAACAACAAATGATCTGATTATCTCCTGGGTAGCTGAAGGAATTGCTGCAGGGGAAAGAAGTCTAGCATCATCCATTTTCCATATATATAAAGACAAGCTCTGGATGCAGACTAAGACCAGATTCAGAACTGAAGCAAAGAGCATCCCTAGACACAGCGAACAACTCCCGGGAAAAAGAAAACTTAGCAGAAAAACTTCCTCAGATTCAATTTGATTACAATGCAGCCTGCATGAAACACGAAAAAAAGGAAAGATAAATACACAACAGCCTTTTGTGTCTCAACAAAAAATAAATAAATAATAACATAGTGTAGGCTTCAGACAAACAGGCGATAAAATGAAATTCAAAGTAATCAAAGAGGACAAAGAACAGGATAGTAATGATATTACAAAAATAAACAGTTACAAATATGTGACAATGGGGAAACAGCTCAGACTTGCTGCACAGTTTGGATGCAAAAGTCAGCTAGAGACGATAATTGGGAATCAAAATGGTCTATAATATCGAACATAGTCTCATTTTGAGGCAAAGCAAGATCTGTGTATGATGCAGTTAACTAGCTAGTATACTTTAAATATTCAGACTCACTGTAAACTTAAACAGACCTCAGCAGAAAACTAGCATCAGAAACAAGATTCATACAAAGTGGCCACCAAGCAAAAAGATGAAAATGAAGTAGGAACAGGAAAACAATAACGCTCTCATCACAAAGTGAACGTAACACAGAGACAAACATCACAACATTTGTAGCAGATACAGCGGAGTTCCCTTGAAGCAGACTCCAGTGTGTAGGACAGCGAGGTGTATGGGAGGAAATGAGACTGCTTTCAGAGACGGTTTCCCTTTCTTCAACAGTACAAGCAGACTCCAGTGTGTGCAGGAGAGCAAGGTATAAGGGAGGAAATATGTGGTTTCCCTTTCTTCAACAATACAATCCTGTGTTCCCAAACAATTACCGTGGGCTTCAGAATCCACCAACAGTCCAATAGAAAGCATCAAAGTAAACCCCAGAAGATTCTATCTCTTTGTCCTCCTTGCTTACAGCCCAAAAAACACATAACATGATTCCCCATAACAACATCTTGCCACAAATTATGGTCCAAAAAGCATTTTCCTCTTTTTTCCAATTATACAGAAGTCCTCATCAACGATTTTCTCACGTATTTTGTAAAATGAAACATTTTTATATTTAATAATAATAATAGATAGCATTTGTATAGTGCAAATCTCCGCTCAACAGCAAGCTCTATGCGCTTCACAATCTATACTATTACCCCAGCAGACCTGAGAGCATTCTGAAACAACCACAACTTTCTGGGAAGCATACAGTGCAAGCAGCCATTTACAGGTGCTAAAACAAAAAAACAAAAACAAAAAATAACTTAAACCTTTTCTCAAAGAATTTTCCATCAGAAAAGCCCATTTCAAGATCTCTTGTGTAAGACAAAATTCTGACCAGTTGTCAAACACATTTTGTGAACATCATTTCTGAGCATCAGACCCACACAGTTGTGACATGACGAGGCAAGAAAGGAAACATTTTGCCGACTCCTGTCTATTCTTAGCTCTTGATCATTCTTTTTCTGACTAAAAGTATAACAACTCTGTGTCTCTTCAAAAATGTAGAAAATGAGCCCTGCGGGAGTTTAGGGAGGAAGGAGAGAGAGCATGGGAGAGGTACAGGAAGACAGACAGGGAGGGACAGGGAGGGAAAGGGGAAGGGAGAGACAGAAAAGGGGTGGGTGGAGGGACAGGGAAGGGAAGGGAGGGAGGAGGGGCAGGGACCAAAGTATAAATCCTTCACGCACATTTCTGTAGCAAACTGCAACACTTTGAGATGAAATATGACAATATGACATCAATATCTACGTTATCGTACAAGAACCGGTATCGTAAGGACTATGACTTGACTGATATTGCAGAGAACAGCAACAATAGTCAGCTTTGACAGAACTGATCCAATGATATGTGTTCGACACGGTGAGTAAGTACATTGTACATTCATATCCTCCTCCGACCAGTCACGACAATGACAAAACACTTGTCATCTAAAGCCAAACACAAACTACGAGGACTTTGGTGTTATTTTGCTCCTTTGAACCTACTCGGTAACATGAACCAGGCATTTTGCCGGAAAAACAAAAATGCTCGGAAGAAATTTGTGAGTACATGGAGCGAGTTAACAAACGGTCCAAATTGTCGGAGACAGCCACACATTGTTGAGGAGAACACTGGCTGAGCAAGACAGGTGGATGTCTTGCACAGCGTCTATGATGTGAAAAAACAGACGCGAGGGGGGAGGAGGGAGGGGGGGAGGGAGGAGGGGGAGATGGGAAGTGGCTGGTTATACAGGCGATTGTCTTAGACAGGTGGCCGTTAGAGCAAGTTGGACCATATTTGTAACGAAGTAAAGAGCTGACAATCTGTGATGTGCTCCGCTGTAAATCACACTCCTTGCGATAAACTCTTCACTGAACAGGTATCTTGCATATATATGAAATGGCTTCATTTTCTCTACGATATATGGTACTCTTATACAAGATTGATTCATTTATTCCTAAAATGCATTTCAATGTCCTAAATTATTTAATTTATTCGCAAATTTAAAAAATCACTTTCATTTCCATTTCAAAGACTTCAAATTCATGAGATTCGCTTCAATGACCACTAGCAATGTACAACAAGCAATATTTGAATAAGGAGAATGAGAAATCTGTACGGTACCTCACTTCGCATTGTGCAGAAAAATGCCTGGGACTATTTTTTTAATCTTTAGCGGCACGAAAGCTGTCCCCATTCTTACGTCTGCTTTTTCTCCATGAAAACTGCAAGCTCTCTTTCTCTCTCTTTACACACACACAAATACAGTCTCCCTCTTTCTCTCTCTCTCTCTCTCCAGACATAAATACAGACATCCCCCCCCTCTCTTTCCTAAACACACATAAACACTCACACACTAATTCACTTGTTCAAATCACATTCACATACTCACTCTTTCTTTCCCTCTCTCACTCCTATATAAATACAAACACAAACATTCAAACACATCCATATTCCAGCTTTGTGAGTGTGTGTAGATCTCTGACAAAGACAGAGTGAATGACAAAAACTAAAAAATTTGCCTTGTATTGCATGGAGTGAGCTAATGTAGGATGACAATTTAACATCAGTGAAAAGTTTTGTCGAAGGTTTCATGTGGACAATTTTACTGTTTTGATCTGTTAAAATATGATATGTTCATTATTCCAAGCTTGTTGGTAATATCTTCTTGTTCCCCTCCCTCCCCAGTAAAACATTGAAACCCCCCCCCCAAAAAAAAAGAAAACACAAAAAAACCTGTATCTCCCACCCCCCCCCCTTCCCCCACAAACACAAATATCAACTGGACCCCATTAAACAAAAAGCCAACAACAAATCTCCAATCAGAGCTAGACTTCATACAACAGACATTTTTCCTCACGTTGAGATCTTTCAATCTTTCACAGAGGCACCATACTCCATCTGTCTTCTGTGCTATACCATCACAGCATCGTTATATCGGTGCTATGAAGGCACAGCATCGTTATATCGGTGCTATGAGGGCACAACATCGTTATGTCGATACTATACAGTCACAACATCGTTATGTCGATACTATACAGTCACAACATCGTTATGTCGATACTATACAGTCACAGCATCGTTATGTCGATACTATACAGTCACAGCATCGTTATGTCGATACTATACAGTCACAGCATCGTTATGTCGATACTATACAGTCACAGCATCGTTATGTCGATACTATACAGTCACAGCATCGTTATATCGGTGCTATGAGGGCAGAGCATCGTTATGTCGATACTATACCGTCACAGCATCGTTATATCGGTACTATGAAGGCACAACATCGTTATGTCGCAGTCACAGCATCATTACATCGGTACTTTACAGTCACAGCATCGTTATATCGGCACTATGCAAGCACAGCATCGTTTTATCGGTGTTATGCGGGCACAGCATCATTATATCGCAGTCACAGTATCGTTATATCGGATGTTGTAACTATGATATGTAGTCACAGCATCATTACATTTATATCGGAACTATGCAGTCACAGCATCGTTATAGCATCGTTATGTCGCAGTCACAGCATCATTATAGCATGGTAATGTCGCAGTCACAGCATCACAGCATGGTAATGTCACAGTCACAGCATCACAGCATGGTAATGTCACAGTCCCCTAGCAAGACCCGCGTGGCCTCCTGGTCCAGAACAAACGTCTTGTCCCCCGGCGTGCTGATCCCGGCACACGAGCGCGGCAGCCCCGTCTGGAAGAAAGTCTCCGAGCTGGCGTTACGGTGACCCAGGATGGAGGCGGAGTGGGACCTGTCACATACACGGACAGGAAAACAGTCATAACTTGGAACATTTGTGTCACGTAGACTAAGTAAGGTTTGCACATTTTTTCAAAACTAAGATTATTTCTTTATTTTTAATAATAATAATAATAAATAGCATTTGTATAGCGCATATCCCCGCTCAACAGCAGGCTCTATGCGCTTTACACAATATTATTACCCCAGCAGACCACAGAACACTCCGAAACATTCTCAGCTTCCCGGAAAGCATACAGTGCAAGCAGCTGATTAAGCGCTTAAACACAAACAGACAAGATCTTTCGCTGTCTATAGCCGGATACCCATTCCCACCTGAGTGGAGTGAGGAAAATTTGTGTAAAGTGCCTTTCCCAAGGACACAACGTCGGGCCCCTGGCGGGATTCGAACCTACGACCTTACGGTTGCGAGTCCGAGAGCCTTACCACTAGGCCACCGACGCCACAATGCGCCCTCATAAAACACCAGGATAAGCTATTTCAAAGACTAAGTGTTGATGTCTCTTGTTTTAGTAAGAGTTTTAAGGTACTTGCAACACAATAAGGTCATTTAAGTGACAAAGATTAGAGGTGTTACAAGAGAGTAACGATCACAAAAAAAAAGGAGGGAAGATAAAGACGATGGATGTCTGATAGGAGAGAAAAAGTAAACTGCACCAGAGCACCCGCCAACCACCCACAATTATTTCTTTATTTTTGCAGTGCCCCCTCGTAAAACACCAGGATAAGCTATTTCGAAGACAAAGTGTTGACGTCTCTAACAAGGAACCAGGTAAATAGATCTATGGAAAGATGAAGCACTTCAGACTGCATTTTAAAAGACAAAGCATTAAAATCTCTGACAAGGCACCAGGCAACAGGCATATAAATCTAAGGACACAGATACAATGACACGTGACGACTCATCCAAAGTGACACCATGGACACAGATACAAGATTTAGGTCATATCTCTTGTCAAGTCCAAATGGCTACAAGAACTTTTCAGCACGGGACATACCATACCTAACTCACAAAGTTTTTAAAAAATCAATTTTTAGGAGAGCTAAATAATATTTGAAAACAAATATTCAGGAAGTTTAAGTGTGTTTGTCATAGGTTGTATCCGCATACTGCTTCTATAAGATGTATTTCTAAAAACAAATCGCAGATTCATATTCAGCAACACTTTTTCCTTACAAAGAAATTTGTTTCTTTTAGAAATGGCAGTATTTGCAAACCAGGTCAAATTAAAGCAAGCGTACACTCAATCTAGCGCTACTCTGTGTCCCTGGGGATCCAAAACTATGCGCGGCGAAGCACGAACTGACCCTGTGTGTGGCGTCGGTGGCCTAGTGGTTAGGCTCTCGGACTCGCAACCGTAAGGTCGTGGGTTCGAATCCTGCCAGGGGCCCGACGTTGTGTCCTTGGGAAAGGCACTTTGCACAAATTTTCCCCACTTCACCCAGGTGGGAATAGGTACCCGGCTATAGACAGTGAATGATCTTGTCAGTTTGAAAGTGTTTGAGCGCGTGAAATCCGCAGCTTGCACTGTATGCTTCCGCGGAAGCTGAGAATGTTTCTGAGTGTTCTCAGAGGGTCTGCTGGGGTAATAATAGTTGTAAAGCGCATAGAGCATGCTCTTGAGCATGGATATGCGCTATATAAATGCAATTATTATTTATTATTATAAGAATTCGACCACTTAATCTAGCGCTACTCTTTGTCCCTGGGGATCCAAAACTGCCCGGCGAAGAACGAACTGACCCTGAGTCACCAAGGGGACAATACGTCCACAAGGACTTACCGGAAAGTGACATCCTGAAGGTCTGGCATCTCCGTGAAGCTCTCGTGCATCTGTACACAGGAGTCGACGATCTCATTGGCTAGACTCGTCACTGGCTGTAAGGCTGAGCCTGGGAGAGGATGAAGAAAGTCTCAGAGTTTATTTCTTATAGCACAGACAGACGGCTTGAAGATATTTCTCTGAGTAACAAGATAGTCCAAATGTGTGCAATTTCTGAATTCTGAATGTTAACTCAACACTTTCACAGACTTTAAAATTAACTTTCTGTATTCTAGAACTCACAACAATATAAAAAAAAAATGTTCTTATATAATTAGAATATCTGGTGTGGTGAGAATGGTTATGAAATGTGTGGTTTTCTACATTCTGAAGTAAAGAAGAGAATGGCCCTACAAGACCACAAAGTTATCTGAACAAAGACTATTTAAAAAAAAAATTCCTCTGGGAACATTTTTTGGAGCTCAAAATAAGCCAACTTAATTAGGTTTTTTTAAGCTTTAAACGTTAAACAAACAGTCTCCTGTTTGTGAGACTGTCAACTGAATAGTCTCGAGCTTTTAAAAAAATTTTACAAGGCATTGGGGTTTCATTGTTTTAATTCAAAGGTACAGGATCAGTTGCTTGAGCCATCGTGCGAGTGTCTTCTGTTCTCAGCTGATCTGATAAATGGCAGGACTTTATAAACTGACTAAGACTAAAGCAACATTGTGGTGGGAACTTTGCAGCAAGCACATAACAAAAATGAAGGTCTATAGATGTGTGTGAGTGTGTGTGTATGTGTGAGTGTGTGTGTATGTGTGAGTGTGTGTGTATGTGTGTGTGTGAGAGAGAGAGAGAGAGAGAGAGAGAGAGAGAGAGAGAGAGAGAGAGAGAGACAGACAGAGAGAGAGAGAAAGAGACAGAATGATAGAGAGAAAAGCGCAGAACAAAAAGCACCAGTGTAACACATGCGAGCACACAACCAGACATGTACAGCTTGCTCTGCCTTTATTGCATCTGTCCAGGCCTTGGAATATCACAGGAGAAAACACGCACATTTGTTTTGCTTTGCGGTGGAATCAGGCGCTTGTCAATTTTTGGACAAATGGGGTTACTGGTGTCATCTTAAAGAATAGTCATTGGCCTTGCTTTTAGCGAAAAAAATATCCATCTATGTGGAATAGAAGTCGAGATATTTGAGATTGAAGGAGGTGTTGAATCAGTAAAACAAAATTAGGACAAAACTGCTAGACCGCCAGAAAACCGCCAGTTTCTTTCATCTCAACATTTTGACGAGCGCCTGATTTCACCACAATGCCTCACATTTGTTTTCTGATCCGACATTGGTCCAAAAATAAAAAAAGAATCACAGAACTCAACACATAATACAATACAACCCATCTACCCAGGTAGAAGAGAGAGTAAGGGGTACGAAAAAGAAAAGGATGTCTAAACTTGTGTACACCAAAACATATATTTGTATGAATCATAAAACTAATGACTTGGAAAATATGAGTTGTTGTTTTATTTTACAAAACAAAAATGACTTGGAAATTAAGATAAAAATTCTTTTTACAAAAGTAGAGGAATATTTTAGATCTGAAACAATACCAGCCCTTCTCTCAGCCTTAAATATTGTTGAAATATTTGGTATTTTAATTTTGTTTTTCAGTTTTTTTTCCCAGGGGGGGGTTGGAAGTTGTTTGTTTGTTGTTGTTTTTTTTGGGGGGGTTAACGACACTTTTTACAAAAAGGACACATTCATGTTTTGTCAAAAACAGTGTCTGCCCCCCCCCAAAAAAAAAACAAAACCCCCAACAACCCCACCCTGGAAAGAGTTGTAATTTCAGGGTCATGTGCCATAATTTTCCCAACCAAATCTGAAACAACAATTTCCACTAAAATGGCATCTTGTGACGAGGACACAAAAATCTGAGACAGGATTTCGTCCATGTGGGATAGACTCTGTTTAACAGACAATCACACGAAAGAAAAAAGCTCTTTTCAGCAACAACATGCTGAATGAGAGGTTGTACAAAAAAACACTGAATTTCCAAAGTAAATAGGAAATATAATGAATGTTGAGCAAAATACATCATTTACAGGCGACATTGAAATACATCAAAATGAGGTTGACTGCAAGAGCTGGCACAATATTTCCCATTTTTCTAACAAATCAGTTCACTCTTATAATGTACTATTCAAATAAGAAGATAACATTCTTACACCCTTGCTCTTGTTTCGGGACTAAAAAGATGAAATTCTTTCTTTCGCACTATCCATGTACTATAAAGCAACATTGATTTGTCAAACATTTTCCATTTAGGCAGCCAATATCTTTAAAAATTCTAAGGTCCTTTATTGCTGTATAGCTTAAAGGCTGTTGAAAAAAAAATATTTCATTTTATGTATTAATCCTCCATTTCCTTTAATTTGCTGTCATTCAGGAATTTCGTGTCTCATCAAAGCTTTGTCTTGAATATTAATATGTCACATGATCAGCAGCACTTTGTTCATCTTACTGGGTCAGAGAGAAGTTAGAGAACATTCCTGCAGGAGAGACAAATCTGACGGTTCATCTCACAGAAAAAAGGAAAAAAACAACAAAACAAAGACGATAAAACAAAACAACAATGCACAATCAAAAACTCAACCATGGGTGAAAAAAAATGAGATAATGTCGTCTCACAAGAGGAACTAACTCCCAAATCAAAGCAACAGGATGCTTGATTTATCAAACGCCTGTTCCATGAAATCTTCAACTTGAGGGGGAAAAGGTTAAATGACAGAGGAATTGAAAATGAAAGAGAAACAAACAGAAACGGGATGAAAAGAAAAAGAAAGCAAAAAAAAAACAAAAAAACCACAACAAAAAAATAACCGAACAATATAAAACCAAACGAATAGAGCAGGTTGGTGGTCATAAGGTTCACAGAACAAAGTATTAATTGATTCTCACAGGTAGAAATATGAAAGACACTAATAAAAGCGAACTTTTGATGATGAAATTAAAATTTAACCGAAACAAAAGAATGAGAGATAAAATTATAGACCTGAGCCTTCTGAGAGCATCAATATATCAATGTCTCTGAGTCTCTGAATCAAAATAATAAACTAGGACATCCTCACACCACAAATTGTACAACTACTTTATACTTCAACAACAAACAACAAACAAACAGTCAAAGTGTGGTAATAACAAAAAGTCAGTTTTTAAAAAGATTAACTTTACCCTGTTCAGTAAGACCTGCCAGCTCAATAAGACCTGCCTGCTTCTCTGAACACAACAAAGACCCTGTCCAAATCAGCATAAAACGACAGTGTGTAGAAATTGCACCCCCCCCCACCCCTACATTAAATGGCTGCTATTTCAGGACTTCTAGGTTGTCATTCATTCATACAAACTCGAGTAAGTACATATATATATATACGAGTATATCGCGTCCAAGACTAATCAATATCACAATGTTTTCCCCATGTTCTTTCTCATCCGTAATCTCAATGGACGTTCTTTTTCTTTCCATGTCCCTTCTGCTTGCAGCGTAAATGAATATTAGCATGAATACATTTTTTCCAAAATACTTTAAAAACTTTTGGTATATGGCAAAAATATCAAGTTCATCAAAATTAAGTAAAATAAAATGCTTCTTAAGTAATTAACAGCAACTTCACATGAGAAGTAGCCACATGCTTGAAGAGTGGGATTCATATCAATGTACATTTATTAATATCCATGCAAACGTCATTCGTCATACAAAAAAAGTCTGTGTCCTCAAAACTTTGAAGCAGAACCTTGTCTGCTCTATAACTTAAAAATGTTTGGCTCTTGAAAAATGTATGTAGTGGTGGGGATAACTGTCCACATATATCTTCTTGATTCTTGATACCACTTCACACTTCCATAGGGAACTGAACTTTAAAGAGATTTAAATCAACTTTATCAAAACCTGGGGTACTCCAGCAAGTTTTTGACGTCATTTCTAAGAATTTAAAAAAAAACCTTCATCGAAAAAACTATCCCTTCATCCTCTGTGAGATTTATTCTTTGTAAGTCTCATCCGGCATCATCACCGAATTCATTTCAAGTTGACAACTAATCCAAACTTTGTTTCCTAAACTGTAAGTAGATCTACGTGTGAGATAGTTTTTCTCCCCTTCTACATCCAGGCAGGACAAGCGTATTTGCCCTGAGACTTCTGATGACTTTTCTCAAGCTATGGCATAAATGGTAAACAAACAAACAAATTTTCTAAAAGTTAACTGTTACAGGTTCCGGGCGCCATTGTTAAAGCTTTGAGAAATCACAGACGCAATATGTCCTTGCACATAAACAGGTTTAACAGAAAAGGAAAACGAACAATATCAACATCCTGCGGGCAATATTGCAGACAGACGTATCTCAAAGGCCGCCAAAAGTGACTTACGTCTGTATGCAATACTGCCTGCGATACCAAGTTTTAAAAAAACCGAAGTCTGCGTTAAGAATTAATTAGCTGAGAACACAAAATGAGCAGCAAACAGCGTAAACCAAGAAACAGGAAGCCAGACAGCACACGCGATCCTAGCAAGCCGCAGCGCAACAGACGAGTCAACTGCTCATGCTTACCTTGCTTCTTTTGAAAAGCTATAGGTGGAAAATGAACGGAGGAAAAAGTTATAGTACTCCATTCCAAATATGAGCCTTTTCATGATTATCATAGCTCGCGCTCTTCGCCTTGGCACGCTACGTAGATCAAAGATATTATAAGAGATCCTATAGTTTGGAACACTACGTAGATCAAAGATATTATAAGAGATCCTATAGTTTGGAACACTACGTAGATCAAAGATATTATAAGAGATCCTATAGTTTGGAACACTACGTAGATCAAAGATATTATAAGAGATCCTATAGTTTGGAACACTACTTAGATCAAAGATGTTATAAAAAAGATCCTACAGGGTGGAAATGAAAGACCTGTGCACAGACTAGAACACGGACACTAGAACACTGAGAATGCCGTTAATCAGCAGCTTAACTCTTTCACAACCAGGCGGTTTTCCTCACCTGGACCGGGCCCTATCTGTGACCTACTTTCTCATCCTGCCTACCCTCAGACAAATCATAAACTTTGAGTTCAATTTTCAATATTGGCCTCATGCATTACATATAAATACAAAGGGGACCAAAGACCTACCTCAACATGTGGCTAAAAATAATCATTCTTCAGCCTGAGATTTCAGTTTCGATTATTACAAGAAAGTAGGTGTGGTTGTGAAGCAAAAAAGTGGAAATGGTCGCTTTTAAGCACAAGGGGGCTATCCCGAAAAATGCTGTTTTGAGAAAATCGAAGGAAAAGTTTTTGCTCCTTGTTCAGTTTCTTTGAAAGACTGGGAGAGATTTCTCTATAACCAAACAAATATACACACCAAAGAAACCAAACTTCTCCTATAGGTAGGGCAATGCCCACTTTTGGTGTAGGTCAAGATTTCTGGAAACCCCCCGAAATCTGGGTCAGCCCGCTTGTCCTTAAAAGCGACCAAATAAGGCTCGCAGTAGTGAAAGAGTTAAGTCAAAACTTTAAAAACATATTCGACTGTTTAGTATAAGACTCCAGGGGTACAACATCTTCAAAAGTGACAGATGACCAAGTTTTACACTGAGCGGTTAGTACGTGCCATATACTCTACAACTGTACAGAAGTGACAGATGACCAAGTTTTACACTGAGTGGTCAGACTGTGGCCTGTACTCTACAACTCTATATAAGTGACAGATGATCAAGTTTTACACTGAGTGGTCACACTGTGGCCTCTACTCTACAACTCTATATAAGTGACAGATGACCAAGTTTTACACTGAGTGGTCAGACTGTGCCCTCTACTCTATAACTCTATATAAGTGACAGATGACCAAGTCTTACACTGAGTGGTCAGACTGTGCCCTCTACTCTACAACTCTATATAAGTGACAGATGACCAAGTTCTACACTGAGTGGTCAGACTGTGCCCTCTACTCTACAACTCTATATAAGTGACAGATGACCAAGTTCTACACTGAGCGGTCAGACTGTGGCCTCTACTCTACAACTCTATATAAGTGACAGATGACCAAGTTCTACACTGAGCGGTCAGACTGTGGCCTCTACTCTACAACTCTATATAAGTGACAGATGACCAAGTTTTACACTGAGTGGTCAGACTGTGCCCTCTACTCTACAACTCTATATAAGTGACAGATGACCAAGTTCTACACTGAGTGGTCAGACTGTGGCCTCTACTCTACAACTCTATATAAGTGACAGATGACCAAGTTCTACACTGAGCGGTCAGACTGTGGCCTCTACTCTACAACTCTATATAAGTGACAGATGACCAAGTTTTACACTGAGTGGTCAGACTGTGCCCTCTACTCTATAACTCTATATAAGTGACAGATGACCAAGTCTTACACTGAGTGGTCAGACTGTGCCCTCTACTCTACAACTCTATATATGTAACAGATGACCAAGTTTTACACTGAGTGGTCAGACTGTGGCCTCTACTCTACAACTCTATATAAGTGACAGATGACCAAGTCTTACACTGAGTGGTCAGACTGTGCCCTCTACTCTACAACTCTATATATGTGACAGATGACCAAGTTTTACACTGAGTGGTCAGACTGTGCCCTCTACTCTATAACTCTATATAAGTGACAGATGACCAAGTCTTACACTGAGTGGTCAGACTGTGCCCTCTACTCTACAACTCTATATATGTAACAGATGACCAAGTTTTACACTGAGTGGTCAGACTGTGGCCTCTACCGGACAAACCATTGAACAGAAATTAAGTCAAGAGTTTACGAGATTTTAAAATGGATTTTCTCGTGGTTTCCAATTAGTGACCTTGTGTGTACGTTATTTCCATGGACTCATCAAGCACAAAAGTCAACAAAAAAAACCCCAAAAAACCCATTTCAGTTATAAATTTCACTTTCAAGCAAAGAGAGGCTTACCATTCCAAGGATGTTTCATTGCTGGCTATTAGCGGAAAAAACCCTAATATAATCGTGCACTTATTCCAGTGTGCTCTGCTCTAGTCGGGGAAAACAAAAATCTACAAAAGAATGTTGAGGAACTAAGGAGTGAGTGGGAGCAAACGTCCAGGCTAGGGGTGAGTTGCCCGGGGAACGTATGAAGGAACACGTGGAGATAGGGCTCTTCGGGATCGGAAATAAGTAAAATTTGTGAGCGAACCACGGCTGCCAGATATGCCATAAAATCTAGGGACACCGCGGGGGCGAGCTGTAAGGGCAAACACAAACAGGTCAAGGTTAGTGCCACATCGTCACCAGACATGGGCATGGAAGAAACATTGGCATCAATTTGCTCAACAAAAGGGTGTAATCTGGCGACTCCTTGCGTCTTAAGGTCGGCTGTGGAGCAAGGAGATTAACAAACGGCAACTCATTATTCTTGCTTGCACTCCACGCACAAAACATGATCCTGCACTATACTCATAATACGTGGTGCCCATTGTACATTGGGGGCCATTTGCTAGCCAGATTGAGGGTGCAAAGCGATCGCGCCCGACTCATCGCCTCAAAAAACAAAGGGGCGTTTATTTTGAGGCAACGAGTCAGGCGATCGACTAAACCCAACCCGACCTGACCAGACCCGATCCCATTTGCAATGGGCACCCGGTATTAAATCTAAAAACAATTTCCCTCCCCTCCTGGACAAGGGAGCTAGAAGCACAAGGTATCGGCAGGATAAAGGAGGAGTGGAAAAGACAGGTGAACTTGTTGTCTCTTGGGATAACGTGACCAGAACTCACGACTCAAACTTCATCTTGTTCAAATTAATGTTTGTGTCCTCTGCTGCTATTTTTTGTTTCGTCTACCAAAAGCTATTCTTTGAAATAGAACACAACATTCAGAAAATAAACCCTGACAAACCAACAAGGCAACACTCCATTGATAGTATATGAGATCTGAGAAAAAAGAATAGTAAGAAATGAAACCCAGCAGAAGCAGATACATGTACTAGCGACAGGGGGATGTACAAAACCTTTTAACGATAGACTGGACATATCAGTTGTGTATTTACAACCCAGTGAGACCCACAAAACAGCTCATAAAGCCCCCCAAAATGTGTTACTTGTGTGTTACAGCCCTCAGCAGCTCAAGCTAGGAGAGAAAGTGACAAAACTGTCAGTGCCACGGAGGGGAGACAATCTGTCCAGCCACTCACAGCAAGGAAAAAAGACAGTTTGAGTTAGTGTGTGCTTGAAACGGGAAGTGGATGGGACAGTGGGAGTGAGAGTGAGGAGTGAGAGTGAGGAGGGAGAGTGAGGAGTGAGGTTTGGCTTTGGGCATGTCTGTCATGATATTGAAGCAAGTGAGGGCCTGAGGAGAGTGTGTGTGGGGGGGGGGGGGGGAGGAAGTAGAGGGGATGAGAGGGAAAGGCTGAGGTGAAACAGGCCATGCACAATCTCAGCTTTGCTGCAACAAAATGCAAGAATGTCTCTGTGCTTGGCAATTGTAACATGTGGCATTTTTGCCTGCAGAAATGAGTCATGGTTTAAATAATATTATCAAACATATTTAGACGGCAGTCCTTCAAAATGACAGGTAGGTAGCTGAATAGTCAAAAAAGTAGATGAAATAAAAGTTGAGATGTCAATTTAGTTCACTGAATGGAAATGTCGGGGATAAATAAGATATTATACACAGGCTGATTAAACAAAGAGATACATTTGGTTTCAATAAGAAAAACAAAACTATGCAGTTAGGTGCATTGAGGGTTATCTTTGTTAGGTGGATGCAGGGAAGGAGAAACAAGCACACACTATCGACACAGACAGACAGGAAAGTGATTCTGTAGACAGATAGATACAATAATATCGTGTAAAGAGACAGGAGTCATGGGCTACGATGCCTCACATATCGTGTAAAGAGACAGGAGTCATGGGCTACGATGCCTCTCATATCGTGTAAAGAGCCAGGAATCATGGGCTACACATGAGAAGGAAACATCAGAGACACAGACATAGAGCAATAAACTGGCCCAGGTCTACAACCAGCACAGCACACATGTCTAGTGTGTCAAGCCAGAAAAATCCACACACCAAAGCAAACACAACACAATCCAGCACAGTTAGTGGAAGTTTTACAACACTTGCAACACACCACAAGCCAGCACAGTCACTCTAAGGTATCGAATAAACCCCCCCCCCCCACCCCTATTATTTTTCAGGGTTTTTTGCGCTCCCTCCCCCTCCTCCCTCTCCTTATTCCAAACCCCTGTTTATTATTTTCCAGCTTGCCACGACCGACGACCATGTGAAACATTATATCCAGAATCTAGATCTGAATGAAACTTTTTTTTTGTTTGTAAATGGCAAATTACCCTCAGTATAGGTACCGGTACCGGGTTGGCTACCTCAAGTTTCTGTGCATTTTGTAAACGTTTGCACATTGGTTATTGTTGAATGAATCTGGTTTGTTCTTAAAAGGGAAAAGTTGTCACAGTAACTTACTAAAATCACTAAAATTTCAAGACCCCTTGTTCTTTTATTCACTAAAGGATTTCAAAACAGATTAGTTCCTACTGATACAAGGGTATGAGGTTGAATGTGCCCCCCCCCCCCCCTTTATTAATTTGGACCACCTGTCCACCCTTTTGTTCCTACTCCCCCCCCTCCCCTTTTTATTCGATATCTTAGGGTAGTGTAAGTTTTAGTAAGTTTTACAACACAAGCAGGTCATATACACGCCGAAAAGTAGAGGTGTTACTTAATACTAGAGAATAAGAAACAAAGAAAAGTGAGAGGAGAGATGAGGATGACAGACGTTTGATAGGAGAGGAGGAGCAAACCACAGCAGAGCACCCACCAACAGCCCAACATCTCAGTTAAAATGCTCACATTTCAACAGTTCAACCACACACACACACAGTTTAACCACACACACAAACAATGTAACCACACACACACACACAACGTACCTCTGAGTTTTTGTGTGAGCGGATCATACTTCATAAACTGGTACGATGCTCCGAGGTTCTGTTGACAATATACATAAAATATACGTCAGGATCAACGCAAATTTTAAACCAGTATGATAGTTATAGAGGTGGTGAAAAAAAACCCAATGAAGACTCATAGAAGGATCACAGGATCACAGCAAAAGTGTGCAGCACTTCACAGGTTTCGTTAAATCAAAATACCCGTTCAGACAGTTATCGTATCTTACGCTCTGAAGAGAATTAATTATGGGATTATTTAAAGACAACTCGTAGGTTTGTCAGTAACAGTTAGAATTTAGAGCGTATGAAAGAAAGACAAGAAAGCACAAACACACGAAACCACAAACATAACAGTTGGAAAGGTCTTTTAAAATTTAATTTCAATTATCTTACAGTCCAATTGACAGAAATTAAAATCATGAGGAAGCGATCACTTCGACCCATCCACTATTGAGTGGCGTTCAACATCCTGAGAGACAGATGGAAATCCCCAATGATAAAACTTCCCCAATCAGGAATTGAATTCACCTCTTTTGCATGCAAAGGAAAAAAAACCCATATCATTAAACCACAAATGCTGGTCAGTTAAAGTGTATAAAGGAGGGACTTGTTTGTTTCTTTTTGTTTCAGTAAGTTTTTTACGGCACTTGCAACCCAAAAAGGTCCTATAAAAGCTGAAGATTAGAGGTGTTACAAGAGAGTAACAAACATAAAAAAGAAGGAGGAGAGATAAAGACTTGTTTGCATGAGTACAGAGAAGCAAACTGATACAAAAATGGTAATTTAGTGCAAGACAGACAGACAGACAGAAACAATAGATGGAACGAAAAAAGCATAAATTATTAACTACCAGTGGCACCCTCCAACCACCTGCAGTAAAGGAAAGACTTCGACTATACTTTCTGTTCCGCTTTTGTTTGTTGCTACAGTCTAAGAGAAACAAGAGCTAAACAGAAAGCATAATCTCATGGTTTCAAAACATCAGCCAGCATACAACGTAAGCAAACAAACAGACAAACAAACAAACAAACAAAATGAAGTACCTCGCTGTCATCCTTCATGTGCCTCTCTGCGTCTTTCACTTCAAAATCCAGCTCTGCCAGATGGGACAAGCAAGACTTCCACTGAAGACACGACAAAAACGGGGAACCAGGATTAATCATAAAGCGTTTTACATCCTCTAATAGTCCAATAATCTCACAGTATAGAGTAAGTTATTCAAGAGGAAAGTACAAGTACACAAGTTCTTTAAGAGTCAAGATCTCTGACTTTTCAGTTCATGGAACTTTCTCACATGGTCACCTGTATAAGACAATCCCGTGGGCAAACGACACCCTTCCCCCCTGCACTTTAAAAAAAATACATATGACACTATGGCAACTTTCTCCTCTACAAGGGGGAGGGGTGTTAGTTTTAGTTATAGTAGAGGTTTTACGGCACTCGCAACTGCATAAGGTCATATGAGCGCCAGAAGATTAGAGGTGTTACAAGAGAGTAACAAACATAAAAAAGAAATACAGGAGATAAGGACGACAGATGTTTCATAGGAAAGAAGAAGCAAACCACACCAGAGTACCCGCCAACCACCTACGGGGAGGGGTGTTAGATGATTGTGACTGTATATGTATCTGAAAAAGTTGAGCTTCAAAAAGTCAGAGATCTTTATATAACAGTGATCTGACCAACTGAATATACAGAGAAAGGGTATGTGCATCCAGACACTTGACATTAAAATCATGCTTAGAACCAAAAGAAAAACACTTTTTCCAACAAATCAGAACATCATATAAATTTTTATTCTTTTTGCACCTTTAATACAATCAAAACAGTGAATATTTTATAGCTTTCAAGTTGAGAGGATAATTCAACATTTGCATAATATTACAGGTGATTTATTTTTACAGCTCGCTTGCTTGTTTCTTTATGACACACAGGTGTCACAAATGTGTGTGTGGGTGTATGTGTGGGTGTGTGTGTGTGTGTATGTGTGTGCGTGTCTGTGTTGTGTGAGTGTGTGTTGGGTGTCTGTGTGTTTGTGTGGGTGTGTATGTGTATGTGTTTGTGTGCGTGGGTGTGTGTGTGTCTAAGTGTTGTGTGTGTGTGTGTTGTGTGTCTGTGTGTTTGTGTGGGTGTGTATGTGTATGTGAGTGCGTGTGTGTTGTGTGTGTGTGTGTGTGTGTGTGTGTTGTGTGTGTGTTGTGTGTCTGTATGTTTGTGTGGGTGTGTATGTGTGTGTTGTGTGTGTGAGTGTGTGTTTGTATG